CACGTGTACTCTGTACACACACGCACTTTTTTATTTAAAGGTAATTATGGTCAGCCTTCACCTAATATTTGTTCATTGTCAGATTTCTTAGAGTAAAAATTGACTGATGCGTACTCCTGCTATCCAATGACAATATCAAATGAGAGAATAAGCACCGTTCTCGAAGCTCACGTGGTTCACTCACTACGTAGCTAAGCATGATCTATGAGTGCTTATTATTAATAATTCATAGTATCAACATTTTATCTGATGATCTGTCGGATATTATTAGTAATTTCGCGAGCCCGTACGAAAAATCACGGCTGCAGCTTACCGCGTATCCGCAGACAGCCGCGCCTCGAGTGAAAAAAGATAATACGGTGGCTTTCCCGATAAGAAAGCCTCGAGAAGCCCTCAAAAGTGTATTAGCCGAGCCCTTCCGCTAGCCTCTTTTATTTCATATGTTGTTTATCCAAATATTCCTTCATTTTTTGCTTCGGGAGAAAAGATGACAATGGACTACGTGATATAAATTTAAAATTAGATAGACGTACTCGAAAGCTATCATTTTTTTTCGTCAGTTTTTATCTTTTTTGTTTTATCATTGATAAAGTCCCTTTATCTATAGAATAAGTCTATGAATGCATGCATGTATACTACTTCGATATTGCAATTTAAAAATTAATAAATTATTTAAATTTTATTTGTTTATTTATTTACTTTTGATGTTATTATTAAAATAAACTAATACTACTTTTGTTTATTAGTTTTTCTTTTATTATTTTATGATACTCTTTAAGTACCTATAAACTCTGTCTATATAATGTCCGCCTGTAAATGAAATTGAATATCGTTCTATACCTGAGTTTATTTATTAATCTCGCTATTTATAAAAAAAACATGTAATTTTGAAGATAGACCTTAATAAATAAAATAATTGATAAAGTCCTTTATTGATAGAATAATTCTATTAATGAGCATGAATACTACTTCGATATTCCAATTTCAAAATTAAGAAATTATTTAAATTTCATTTATTCATATGTGTGTACGTAGGTCACATTAAGTTTCCGGAACTGGCCACTTACATAAACAATATTTACTTAATGGCAAAGCGCAAAAGTTATTCAATTTATTTGAAATATTCTCCAAATTTTCATTTACTATAATGTACTTAGTTTGTTTTGCCTAATTATTTAATTTATTATTTTTTATGCTCTCACTTAAAGGTAAGTAAATATTACATTTGTTTTAATTATTGCGATTTTAATTCCAATCATTTAGAATGACTCGATGGCGTAGTTGCTTAACTATTAGCTTCGGTGCCGAAGGTTGTAGGTCCGATGCCCACACGGGACGGTTATTCGTATGCCCTACAGATAATTGTTCGAGATCTTGGTGTTTGTTCGATATTTTATTATATCGGTGTTTATACGATAATTTTATTAAGCGTTTAGTACTTTATGAGAAATTCGTCAAATAATACTACATTTGTCACTCAAGTGGGTACTTTTGTATTCGATTTGTTCAACTTATAAAATACTCAATAAACTCATTACTTCTTTCAAATTAGAAATTTTTATTCTATTTTATTGGATAATATAACTTGTACGCAGCTATTAAAAAACAAAAAGATTTATTGAAATTTATAGCAAGCATCTTTTTAGATATTATATATTTATAATATTTAAACAAAATGGTTACTACGCGTGTAACTCAATTATGAATGTTCCATGAGAAATGAGCTCAGTAAGACGCTTCACTCAATTATGGAGATCGCAATAAATGTGCTGCAGAAAGAAATATTTGAATGTAAATATATTTTAGGCTACCACGTAAAGGCGTTACAGGGCACAATGTATCGAAAACGCCCAACCGTCTCTCGCGGAATGACGCAACAAATCTTAGGAAGGAACCATTCAGGACTACAATATTTCGTTTTACGTCCAATTTCCATAGGCGGCGAGCGTGAAGGGCTTAATGGGGCAAGAGATTGCCGACTGGGCTGGCTGAAAGTTTTTTTAACAGCTCCAAGCAGCTACTTCGGGTCGTCAGTCTGACTTACAACACTTTTGTGCGAAGATTTATGTATCAGTCGGACATAAATCAAGTTGCTAACCACATCGGGTTTATAATCTAGTCCAATGGTGATAAATGGATAGCCTATTAGGGTTATCCCGTGTTACATAACATATACGCATGACCATTTTCATTATCTCGAAGTAAATGAAATGACTTTTAATTGGCTTTCGTGTGCTATATTAGAAGATTTGTTTTCATCATCTCTAACTAAATTAAATGATTGTAAATTAGAATTGAATTAAAAGATATTTTTTAATTTTATTACCAAGTCGTTTTCTTCTGAGTAAATCAAGGGAGTTTTATTAGTAATTTCAAGGCTACAATTGGTTTAAAAGATAATTGTTTTAATTTTATTGTTAATTCGATTGTTAAACTGTACTAAATAAATAAGAAAGCTATGAAATTTAAAACCAATTCACAAAAGAGCCTTGATTCCCATTTAAAGTTCGTATTGAAATTTGAAAAGAAAATAACAAGTTTACAATGAACGGAAAACACAATATTATAAAAGATTTAATAAAATTTATGAAACAAAAATAATTACATAATAATTATATTGTAATGGATATTTAAACTTTAAAAGCAAATAATGTTTACGAAAAACGGTCAAAATTTAAATCAAACGCATGAAGTTGGTTCTCTAAACCGTGAAAGATGTACGCCATGTTTAAACGACATCCAGTAGCATTCTCAGGATGTAGATAAATGCCGGTCTCCTTGTATCCTGATACTCTCCACATATACAGAGCGAATAACGACCTCGTGCAAGCCTCCATTCAACTATTTGTGTGTCCATTTGGGTCAATTGGACCTCGAAGTGTTGTGTGCATGTTTTCTGCGCTAACGTTCGCTTAAAAGCTTTTTTGCCTCGCTTCTAGAACGTTCCGCGTGAGTTACACAATTTCTATTGGTTAAGCTTTCACAAGAAAACAGACTAACCCTCCCTTTTTATGTAATGGAATTTACTTAAAATAAAAAGATTTATAATGAACTCTGTAAAAACTTAAATATCATGATCGGTAATTTTAACTATAAAACTGTTCTTAACTGTCTTAGGAGAAAGCTGTCTGTGATAAGTAGCATGCTCAGATTATAACTTAAAGTGTTTTATTAGTTGATTGCAGCAAAATCATTTATATGAAGTGTCAAATCGTTTACTATACGACACTGTAAACATTTAAGTAGATCAGATTTATTGTCATAGTAGTACGTCCCATTAAGTTGAGCATCAACTTATAATAGTGAGGTCATGGCTTTATCCAGCACATTACGTGGAAGGTATGCTCACTAAAGCCATGCGTTTAATATAATGGGCGTTTATAAGGAAACTTGTGGAGTGTATACGTTTGAGAAAGAGAATGTTTATAACTAGCTCGGCAGGCTGAAATGTTCTGAAATTTAAAATTACTCGTTGTAATACTTAGCTAGAAGAATAAAGATGCTTTACATGACGTTAAAGAATTCTTTGATCCAATAAAGACAAACGGAAAACCTAAAAACGGGCTAAAAAATTTATGGCATTTCTGTTAAATTCCGGTCCGAAAATTATAACGGAGAAAAATTGTTATTGTTAATTAGAAATGGTATTCATCATTTAGAAATAATCGGATAGTCAAAGATATTTATGGTACCTATTAATTTAAGAATACATATAATACAATATATTGTTTGACATAAATCTTATCTAACTTAAAATACTTATTAATGCCAATAGCAAAATCATAAAGGATATGTGAGTGTATGAAATATGTACGAGATGTAATGTAGGAACGGCTATTGAAGTGACATTCGGTTTCACTTTCGGTAATGTTTCAGACGTGCTCGCTCCAGGAGCGTCGGATTCCAACTGCCCGAGATTTTTTGCAACCCGGCAAATGACAGTGCGTCGAGCCATAGGCACGGATGGGTCGAATCGTTTTCTCTGATGACCCGGCGTCGACCCCTAGGGCGGGCTAACGGCGCCACTAGTGATGTCCCGTTATGCGGTACTAGATAATACTAAAAGATTTATTGTTATCGAAAACGCGAAATTTTGTGGTGCGTCCCTACTTACGATGCAGTTGCCAAAGTTGATTGACTTATGAATATGATTAGTATCTTATTTTGCCTTAAAGATTATGTAATTTCTTAGAATTAATGTATATGTGGCTGTAGAATAAGCTGTGAAGTAGAAAAAATTATGAGCCATGAATATTAGCGATGTCATATGGAATATCGACTCAATTACCATACCTTTTTAAAATAATACCCATAATTTAAACGGGAATAAAATAACTTTCGTATTTTCTAACTTGAAATTATAATACAAAAGTCATTTCAGTGGCAAATAATAATTTGAAAAAAATTATAAATCCTAAGCTCACAATGCAAGTCCCAAACAGATTGAAGATTACATTCCATGAGCTTGAAAGGTCAAATCGTTAACCAACGTGTAAATAAAAAACAACACTCACATTCAGACTTTAGACACACAACTACAGATACGTCCTCTCAAAAGGGCTAAATATGACGTTGCTAAATAGAAAAATATTTTGGCTCTATACTTGGACTAATACTTGGACTTCCTATTCTAGGCCGAAATCTAAAAAAAAACTAAATATAAATCTACTTGTAACATTTATTTAACTAATGATTTTTATTAAATAGTTTATAACACTCAATATTTTAAAGACGAGCATACACATGCTTATTTTTAGCACCCACAATATTTTCACCATCTCTAGGTTGAAGAGCTTTTTCCTATATAAAATCAAGTTTGCAGTTGTCGAACATTGTCTTCAGCGTTTTTAATCTTTCCCAAGAACCGTTTCGACGTTGATTCATCACGAGCGATCCGCCAGAGCTATTCGTGGATCACAATCGAATATAGGCCACCCCTGGCCGATATTTAAAAATTATATTCTAACCAGCCGATTCTGTATATGACGGGTTGAATGCAAATGAGGATCGCAGACCGTTACTACGTGGAGAGAAGAGCGCCGCGGACATCACTAAGTGACGTCGATGCGGACAGTCCGGGACGTGGACAAATGCGTCGCGCGAGTCCCCGTGACGCGTACATTGAGCTTTCATTTGGGCAATTCTCGACTAAATCCCGGCCAATCGGGCGCCCCGGCCGCCTAACTGCCGCCCATTTAGCTGAATAAATACAACACTTCTGGCGACTTTAAAATGGAGCCGACTTAAGTGTGTGGACGTCATTTGACACGCTGGCGGACGCCACTTTGGATATTGCATTTCAAAGCAGCCGTTGCGCTCGCTACTCTCTCTTTTAATGTCGTCGAAGAAATCTAGCACAAGGAAATGTTAGTCTTTGGAAACATGGTGCTATTGCAAATCCTTATTTTCACCTGCTTCTTTCTGAGCCAAGTGGGGAAAATCATCTTGTTCTCCTTCAGGGGTATTAATACCTAGATTCGGAACAATTATATGTGGTCACAAATGCTTGTCCCGTGTGGGAATCGAACCCACGACCCCCGACGCCGAAGCCAATATCTCAGCAATCGCACCACCAAGTCATCACAAGGCATTGTACATAAATACTAAAGTTACTAAATAATTTGTATATTATATTATATAAATTACTATAGCTGGTGCCAGGGGCGCTTTGCTTCACCTAAAAAAATATTACGTGTGACCAACATACATGATGGTGTACATGAATTCGACCATTGACTCAAAAGATAAAAATCACGGCCACCAGCGCCACTAACGTGACTATGTTTGTCGTAATATCTTGACATTTCTCGAGTTTTAGATCAACATACATACACACATATATTCTCTTTAATGTATATAGACTAATAAAGCAGACATTGTATCATCGATCGAAAGGCGTCGCTGATTTCTAGTACAGCTGCTTCATTCAATCGTCTCAACGAAACGTGTCCATTGTGTTAACATTATATTTTATATATTTCTGCTGTTACCCCGTTACAAATGAACGTACACGTTTTAAGTACTTATTTCAAGATTAAAGTCACACCACGATTTAAAACCTAAATACCAAATGTAAGTACTGAATTCGAAATTATTAAGACCATTTTAGTTTCATTGCTCTCGTATTAAGATTAAACTAACTGCTCGTATTGTGTGTCATTCGATTTCTCAATTACATTATTAACTCGTCGCGGTAAAAGAGTGATGTTGTCTTCAACAAAAGCCTTTCGCCCCAATCTCCCGCAGAATTACAATTCTCATTCTATATTAATTATCACGCTACACTGAATGACGAACGTTCCGCATCATTGCCACGGACGCGGCGCCCACCAGACAATTAAAGGTATCCCGCCCGGTCACGCGCCCGGCGCGGAATTTCACGAATTCTGCACCCGTTCCTGTTATTTTGCCCGATAGCGGGGAACACGTCATTTTTCCCACAGACACGGGGACTTTATCAAACATTGGAGGACTCGAACATGATTATAAGCGAGCGTGCCCCGAATACGTTAGCGGGCTGGAAGAATTGCGACAGATCAAAGGGAAACGAAAACGCTTTGATATTGATATAAAAATCCCCTTGTTATCGACGCTGCGGCAAATTTATTTCGTTTTGTCACTACATTGGTTTTTAGATTCACTCTGTGAAATTAAACTTTGAGAGGTTAATATTATTGTTAAAAGCCACTTTGTATAATCGAATCGGCTTGAACCGGAAAGATGAGAGGTAAATGAATAAAGAGTGTATATGTAAAGATTTTATTAATGCAAAAAAAATGATTTCAAAAATCGATACCAGTCATTGTCCGTCAACTATAGGTAATATTATAAAATAACTTAGTGCTTATTGGTATTTTGTATTGCATCTACGTCTAATTTTGACTATTCGCAGGGTTGACTGGAAGGAAGAGTTTATCTACTTTATAAAAATATATTTAATTTAACAGTTACTTGGAACGTAGCTAGTAAGGATGTGAGAATGTACAGTTATTGATTTTTAACAGGACAAAGAACCGTACATTCTCTAATAGAAAATAGTGAATCACACTGTGAAGCAACACCTGCATTATACACAGCTTATTTATTACACGGTAAACTACTCTCTATTGATTCCGCGCTCAGCTGGCGAGCGCAAGTTAATGAAGTCAGCAGTAAAGTTTATTCCAACTTGATTTATGGTGAAGTTTTTTTCAAAGAACTAAACTGGTTGAAAAGGAATACTTTTATTTACTTCAAAAATGTCAGTACCTGGGTCTAGTCTAATGTCAGTACCTCTCATTGCTGCACTAATTTAGGTACAGATTATTTCTTCGAATATATAAACCATTATGTTATATATTGATATTTATTGTAATAAAACTAATTGACTGACAATAGCCCTTTTTATTTTGTAACTACCAATTTATCGAATACTTTTCAGAATTTATGATCATGGACCCCAGTAAGATATTTGACGCGCTGGTCGCTGACAGCCCAGTTTGCACGGGTGTGGATTTAATTTCAATTTAAACATGATCCAATTCCGTATATATGGGTGTAGCGCTATAGGCGATTTTCTGTTGCACTAAGGGCAGGCTGCTCCGGGGAAAGTAGCACGGCCGGCGTAATGTAAATAATATTTTATACGTATAATTCTGCGTTTTACCTGGTAAGTTTGTTAGTCGGGTTCCAACACTTTTTATAGATTTGCAACGTTGAGGTGGTTTTAAATCTGTTCGCAGACTGCAGATTTACTGGGCCCGCTATGTTTGATGTCAACTGAACGTTCTTTCACACGGGTATTGCGTATTCTGTTGCTTTGATTTGAAAGACAGATCACTAAAAAAATAATCATAAATTCGTTGCTGATTTGACTGCATTTGACTGCATTGCAACTGAAAACATAGGTGTTCACAATCACTGAAACGAGGTAAGAATCTTACAGTATAAACTTTTGTGTTATTTTAGTGATGAGATGTTGAGCCATTTAGTGAGTTGGCAATCTGGTTCGTGTACTTTCGACGACCCATAAAATTTTGGTGATTCTGGTCAGAGTCTAATTAGATTTTTAGGATGAGAATATTCGTATAGGTACTAAGTACTTTGTATTTACTGTGTGATTAAAACTAAACATGCTTACTTCAATTTTCACTTGATAAGCTAAATGAAAAGAGTATAGCGACAATGATTTATACTTTTCCTGTCTGGGATTAAATGCGTGAGTGTTTTGTTTTTTGCCCTTATAAATCCTGCTTTGTGAAACAGCGAGCTGAAACAGTACAGCGGCCCGTCCCAATAACGTAACCGCTGGCAAGCATTGAGTATTAAAAGTTGTTTTATTTTACAACAGCGAAGCCAACAATTCCCCGGTAACACGTAACGTTCGCGTGCCACCAAATTTTTATGTCCACATCCGTATTCAGCCTCTTGGTCTAGTAACCCTATTTGTTTGTGGACGGGTGCCCGGTTTACGCGATATTCGGCTGTATTCGAACTGTCATAAGATTCAAGGGGCCATTGTTGTCGCGATGGCAACGTGAAAAAACCTTATTGCAAAACGTCACGGAACGATCCCAGGTGTGGAATGCCTTCACATGGAATACACCGAAACCCTTGAGGTTGCTTATTTAGCAGTATTAACTCTTCTAATGATAAAGATCGTATGACCCTTACGGTGGAACATTGCTAAGCATACAAAATTGTTTTGCTGCATTTTTTTGGAATTAGAAATTAATACAATAATAAATATGGTAATGAGGTTTAATAATCGAAAATAATTTTGAATATGGCCTGAAAAATCCCTTTGAATCCCTAATCCTATCCTTACTAGTCCTTACTAATATTATAAACGCGAAAGTTTGTATGTATGGATGGATGTTTGTTACTCTTTCATGCTTATACTACTCAATGGATACTAATGAAACTTTACAATAATATCGCTTATAGATCAGAATAAGACATAGGCTATAATTTATATACATATTTTATGTATATCTGTCTTTCTCTTTGATTGTTACGCCTTCAGCCTATTCTACGCAGACGTAGTCGCGGGCAGCAGCTAATAATATTATAAATGTAAATGTAAGTTTGTTTGTTACCCCTTCACGCCAAAACTACTCAACAGATTATCGTGAAACTTTGTAAATATTATTCTTAGTGATATTAAAAAGGACATGTGATTCTTTTTATTAAAAAAATATATTTATATAAGGGCTTTAACGCGACCGAAGCCGCGGGCGATAAGCTACTAATATATAAATCAATCTGCTATAACAACTTCAGAAACTAAATTCCAACAAAACATTTTGTTATTTCCATTGAAACGTCGGGCACCGCGATCGATTGATTTTATCCTCTCACAGCGTTTAAATAAGGGTTAAGGTTTTGGGTGGTGGCATGCCGTTGTTCCCGATGGCAATCATTTTCCAAATGAAATACAATAAACGACGGTAGGTCATGCGAATGCGTCGTTCTAGGCTAATTAGTTAATTGTAATTGCTTCCGTGATGGTATAAGAATTTTGTTTTGAGTTTTGAAAAAGACGTTTTGTAAATTTCCAAGGTCATTAGAAAATATAGTTATTTTAAGGTGAATTAAAGTAAAGTAAAGTAGCAGCCTATAAATGTCCCACTTCTGAGCAAAGGCCTCCTCTGTACAGAGGGTATCAGGGCATATAATTATTTCCTATGACAGAACGTAGTACAGACAATTCGTAGTTACAAAATTGTCCAGGAAAATCCAAATATTTTAATAGAATAGCTGGTGTTAAAGGTGTTTTAGAGTTTATTTCAATCAAAAACCGTTCAATTTTCTATTTCAGTAACCTTAACGTGCCATTCACGCTTTAAATAAACGAGTTTTCTCCAAAAGGCGCACTTTCACTGACTGGTCGCCTTTTATAGAAAACCTTTACTAACTACGCTACAATGAACTACAGGTGCGACGCGACTCAATGATAAATTACTAAGTGAATTATCTGGCATGTCATCGACATTTCGCCCCGTCGAACACTTCCGTTACGGGGTCATAGATTAATTTTAACGTAAAAAGAACGGACTGTCCAACTGACTTTAAATGACTTACGTAATGTAGATTTTCGCTGCATTATGTTGAGGTTTGACTCTGACCTTGTACATCTGCATTTGAATGAATGTCTTGGATCTAGATAAATACAACAGCCTCACAGATGATCGGCGTGACCTCATTGCAGCAAACTTCTTTGTAT